TTTGGTGATAGCCTGAGTGGCATTGCTCTGCTAGGTGCTACAAAAGCCTTTCCCTTCCACACTCCCAGTTTATTCCCTTTTACTTTTTAAACTAGCACCTATTTTCCATTAGTAGTATCTACAGATAAAGGTGCTCAAAATGAGGGTTAACAGTTAGCTGTTCATTTAATATTCATTAGCTGATCATTTAATATTACTCTTAAAATGCTTCCCTTCTCTTGCAGTGTTTCTGTCTTAGTTTCCTTCTGCCTCCCTCACCATAGCTATGAACATACATGCTACATTTGGAACTACAGTAATTCCTGATATATCAAAGGCTGCTTGATTTTACCTAGATGAGATACCAAGAGCATAAAGTTGAGATTAATACGGGCTTTAGCTTGTGCTTTTTATGTCTGCTGGAACCTCGTGCACTTAGCAAGGCAGAGAACCTGCAATGAGGTCTATGCTATCATGATTTCACTTCTTCTAGAACCTGAGTGACCTGTTTTGAGATGAATATGGATGGTATTATCACACCTACACACCCCTGCTCCAGGAAGAAATGTCACAAAAAGCCAAGTTCTGAAATCTGGACTAACACAAACTAGGTCAGAGCAGAACTGCAAACTATTTTCATCAGTAGCCTCCTGCCCTATTTTTAACTTGGTCTTTTTAGGAGGCTCTGTCTCCAATGATCACATGTGCCACAGTTGAGTCTTTGCAAACATGGCCTCTAACAGAGAAGTGGCTTACACTTGTTCTCAAAATCCAGGGCTTTGAATTTCACTTTGGATCAAATGGCAATCAGTGCAGGTCACAGACTAGCTTTTCTTGACACTTTTAGCAAGAAATTCTGCTGAAAGAAAAATCAGTGTGTCAGACCTCCCTTCAATATGAATACAAAAGCACAGTTGTTAGAACCTTTCCAACTCAACTGCAGTAACTCTGCCTAAAGACACTATTCAGCTTTTGTGCAAAGAACAGCCTTCAGCTCAAAACATTCTCCAAGTTCCATTCGCAAATTCCTAACTCTCTCCAACTTATACATAGGACCAACAAACTCACATGGATGCATAGCTACGTATTACATTAATACTTTAATTTGGATTTATCTTGTATTTCTACATCTACTCCTTGTCAATTTAATTTTTCACTTGTGTTCTTTGCATAGTTTAAAACCTTAAAGAGCAGAAAATAATGGCACTGATATCTTACTTTCGTTCACATTATGTATGATAACACTTCTGGTTGTGAAAACGTACAAGTAACGCTGCCATTACATTGCTGAACTAGTCTCAAAATAGGTACAGCACTCACAGCAGCTACAGCTTTGGAGGTAGAAAAAGAAAAATCTTTCACTGGCCTGAACAGCAGCAATGAAGGTTCCCCAGCAACTGCTTGTGGCAATGACAACGCTGTGCCACTATTAGTCAGTAGTTATAAAATATATTTCATTTTGGAAGAAAAATGGTTTATAAAATCATAATAACTATGAAAAAAACAAAGACAATGAATATAGTTCTGAGCAAATAGGAGCCTTCTTCATATGTTGCTGCCTATGTTGTCACAAAATTGTATCTGTCCCTTATCTTACCAACTATAAACAGTGCGGTCATACTGTTATTTTCCAGCTGGTAGTTCCTGTGGTCCATTCTCTAAGAACATCTAGAGTGATCCCACTTCAGTTGGCCAAGGAATTCTATGCTTACTTTAGTTTTTCTATGTTCATTAACCACCGACACAGTAAAAAAGATTAACAAAAAAAAAAATTCACTAAAATTCATTTTCCTCTATGCTGCAAAACTACAGAGAAATAGGTGTCAAGCAGTAATGCGATAGGAATTAGTCCTGTATTCCACTTTCCCTTGCACACAACACGGGCTCCACTTATGCTAAGCAAGCCTGAGGCAATATGCAACTGAGGTCAGAACTACTATCTGCAAATAAACAGCAACAAATATATTGTCTGCACTGAAGGGAGCATAAATCCTTTGGGGGGTTGATTCAGTGTTTGATTCAGTCTTTCTCCTGTTAGCTCATCTCCTTGAAGATCAGCAACAAACGATAAATAAAGATGTCACCAACATTGCAAAGAGAATGACAGTAGCTACTCACTCTCCTCTACACCCCAAGATACATCAGGCAGATAAAAAGGCCACTGAGGAGAACAGGAGACTCAGTGACTCAGACCACAGTACTTCGTTTCTCTCTTCTATATCTCTGACTTCATGAGAGATCACCTGTTGCTTTATCAATCTCAGTGGGCTAAAAGGAAAAAAAAAAACCAATTGAAATTCCCTCTAAAGCACCTGGAAACACAATGGAAGATAAATACAGCAAAGAAGTCTCAAGGTAGAGTAAAAGGACAGAGACATTTACACCTGCTCTTCTTCATTACTCATGGCATAATCTCTTGCCATTTTCTTAAACAAGGTTATTAGAAAAAGCAATTCAATCAGATGGACATCTTATTTATCTTCAAGCCTTCCCTCTTCAGAATATGGTTGTTCAACAACTGGTCCAGAAAGTGGATCTGACACAGAAAGTGCCTTTAAGATAATGAGCTGCACATTGAGCAAATAAGGATTTTGTTTAGCTTGGTACAGGCAAGGGAAGTGGGTCTGAACTGACTGGCAGGGAAACAGCTATTTTTGATGTTCATGACTCAAACAACTCTGCCTGTCCACCTCTGAACATGAGCATCATCAGTGCTTAGACATCAGTTGTTTGAAAAAGGCATCACTCTGGCAACTTGAAAAGTAGCCTGTTTGAAACAGTATTAACCATGGCGCTCTAGAGGAGTATTGAAAGACTGTCTTGAAGTTCTCCATGTGGTACCAGTCACTGGGTACGGCTGTTATATTTATCAGAAGAGATCCATAATGAAACAGGACATCAAACATCAAAATAAAAATATGAAAAGAACAGCAGGAAACGGGAATACAACTGCAGTAAGATATTTTGGCTATTCACTTAGAGGAAACACAATTTCATTGAGTGAAAAAATACAAAGAGAATACAAAGAGAGAAAATTGTTTACACGGGTCAGGGTGGTGATGTAATGTCAAGAAATATCAGAAGATGCGGTTCACTGAATAGTTGGCTGGGGGAAAATACAACATAAGGTCCAGTCGCCTACCACTTATCCTAGATCTGACCATCTTTTCTATGATCCCCTCCTCCCATATACACATAACTTCAGTGACTAAAAACCTAGGTGAAAAATGAAGAGGGAAACAAGCACAGCCTGAAAGGAAATATTTTACCACGTGGATCCAGATACTGTATCCCACTCTCCTGTAGTGCTGGGTAGCCCTGGACTGGAACAAAGTCAGCTGGATGTTCAGCACCATTGTCAAAAAAAAACAAACCAAGCAAGCAAAACCCCTGCACCCTACACAGTTGTTTCTCTGCCCAGGACTTTTTACTGAATTTTTTACTACTTTTTTTCCCAGAAGGGAGAATTTAAAGTATTTGACATCTCAGTGGTAACGTGGCTTCAATAATCCAGGTGCAAAAGGTGACAGCTACAGAAAACTGGTTTCTAAAAAACGTTCAGTCACTTAACAATCACATTGCTACATGAAGTGTTACCCAAAAGTTAAATATTGCTAGAGATTTCTTGGCTCTGTTTATGCTGTCAGCACCCTTACCACCAAAGCACTGATAAAACTTGAAGCCACTGCTCATAACAATAACAAGAACGTGATAGTGGAATTTATGGCAGAATATTAAAATTGAAGGAGCTTTCGGTTTCATTTTGTGCAATTAACTCAGCAACAACAGCAAGCACATTGAAATCACACCACCAATCAGAAAATTCACATTTGGGACAGCAAAGAAATGAAATGCTATATTTCTTATGTAGCTGGACTTAATACTGGTAACTGCAGAGCCTATAAATCATTTTCTCCACAGGATTCTAAAGTCATACGTGACAAATATAAATCCTTTTCTCATAATCCTGTCCTTGATCTTTTCATGTTGTTATTGAACTTCCTGGCTAAATTATTGCTAAAATAAGTTGCTTTTTTTCCTACAAAATTTGCCAAACTGCTGGAATTCATTTGTATTGTCCTTTTACTAGAAGAATTCCTGTAACATTCCCATTGACCTAATTGCAGGTTTTGGCCTGAAAAGATGACACGTTTGTGTGAATCTGGTAAAGCTGTTGAAGCAGGGATACTAGAAATGAAGTACCCTTCTGGCCCCTTTCATCAAGCTCCAGGCTGAATCCCCTTAGGAATGTGATGGCATCTCTTCTCCTTGTTTTTTTCTAAAATCTGTTCTAAGCTGCTTAAAAAAAAAAAAAATCTGACTGGAATAACCCAGAAACTAAAGTAAAGACAGCTGGAAAGATGAAAGAGTGATAATGTTTAGACGCAAACCAAGCGACGTGTTCCAACAACTGGCAGGGTCTAAATTCTGTCCCAGAAATGTATGTTATCAAGGAATACAGTGTCAGCGGGGAAATCTCTGAAATCACAATACAATTATGTTGTTTTAAGTCTCTATTTGGAAAGCATTATCATTACTTGGAGAAAAACGGAATTTTCATATTTATATGCCTTCAGTGTGGTACCTCTTTCAGCAAAGAAATAAAAAACAATAATCACAGGATAAAATTGATTATTTGGAGATAGTTTAAAGCCTGGATAGATACTATATGCCACCACTAGGCAAGCGGTTCAAATGAAGTAATATCATATGAGCAATATTGCTTCCTATATTAGACTTAAAACACAGTTTGCAGAGCCTCCAATCCAAAGCAGCTCCTGCTTTTACCCCTGCTGCAGATGAAACTTGTCCTGGGCAAAGTCCCATTTTATGGCAGAGACAGTGCCTTTGACTTGTATCCTTTAATCTGGCAAAATCCTTGGATGTGCCCACAATTACATTTAGAATCATGGGTCAGGGACCCATACATAACCATGTCTCTATCAGTGTGCTGTGTTCCTAACATATTTCTAGTTTTAATATATATTCCTAATTTTCTAAGCTTCTGTCATTTTCCTTACCAGCACAGATCTTCCCATCATAGGTCTCGCACACCCAGTCATGGCACTCACAGAGTGGACCGTAGTATTTGCCCGACTCAGTCACTTGGCAGATGCAGACTCCACACTCACATGTGCCTCTGTCATTGCACAACTTCCCTCCTGGGACACGGCACCTGAGCTCCGACTCAGTCCGGGACAGCTGGCACAAAGTAGGACCACCCAAACTGCTCCTGTGGGGAACAGCAAACAGAATAAGCTGGAGTCAAAGACAGGGGCTGCAGCTCAGAGATGATGAGAGCTTGGCTCATAGGAAACCACCCTCCTTGGTTTCAGCCCATATCCAGAACATTGTTCTTAATGCCACCATTTAGTTATGGTTGCAAAATATTATTTGCCTCATATACCCCCAATTTTCTTCATCAGCAATCTCACTGATACCTGCAGGAATGTTTCTATTTGATTTTACTTACCTTGTTAACTGTGTTAGGCTCATCTACTTCCTCATCATGCATATCTGGTATATATGCATAGGCATGTGTAGTTTGACTATCTATCATGAAACACTTTGATCTTAATTATTCCAAAAAGTTTAGAGATGACATATACATGCAAACATCTAGGTAGCATAACAGGAATATATGATATCAAAAAGAAAACCTATGGTTGATTCCAATAAAATATGTTTTACAAAGTAATCCTTTTGGTTGTCAGACATATATGATCCATGTTTTCAAAGGAAAAGGAAACCAAATTAATCACCACTTTCCATGCAATAATGTAGTTTGTGGCTATGGTTTTAGTAAATCCAGCAGAATCCAGATGCCAGATCAGTAGATTTACAGCTCTGCCATGCAATTGTACCATGCACTGGAGCACAGAGACATCAGGACTTTCAGAACATACACAGGGAAAATCACACTTTGCCTTATCGGGAGCTGCATTGTAAGAAAACAGAACAAAGGACTGTGCAAGACAAATAGGTCTTTAAAATGCTAGGGAATACTGGGGATTAAAGTGAGTAGTACCTGCCCTTCTCAGATAGTAGATTTTGCAAGGCTCTAGAGCAAAGGAACTGCTGGCTCTAGGAGTCAGAGTGTCCTGGCTGTGGTGGAGGGGAAGAGTGAAGAGCAGTGTGCCTCACTGTGCTACTGCACCCAAGTGCAGGAACAAGCAGGGTTCTATGGTTAGATGCCTGCTCCACTCAGGCAGCAGAATTTAGAGGTTGGGCGTAAAGTCATCACTATCCAGCTCTTCCCCCTTTGCTGCTTTCAAAGCCTGCATCTTCGGCATCAAATACATCATTCCAAATAACTCCTGCAGTTTTCACAGGTACCTACCTGTTGAGATTCCCAGGGACCCAGAGTACTTCCCTCTTTTACTTTTAAGCAGGCAGAGGAAGAGCTAACAAACTTCTCCACTGTTCCCTCTGCAACCCCAGCTTCCACGCTCCTGACATCTCAAAATCGGTCGCAACCCCCCGTGAGGCTTCAAAGCCACACTTACCGCAGGGCCAGGGGGCCAGCCGGCGGCGCGAGGTGACCGGCCGGCACCGAGGTGACCAGCAGCAGCGCCAGCCCCAGCAGCCCCTGTGCGTACATGGTGCAGGCTGTGCTATGCCGCACCTGGAGTACTCCTGCAGACGGGCCGACAGACAGCCGGACAGACCCGCCAGGCATGCGGAGAGCTGCGAGCTGGACAAGCCCGGCTCCGGCGCTGCTCCCCCCGTGCTGCAGTAGCTCTGATTAGCTGCCTGGGAGCGGGATTTGGGCAGCACTCTGGGAAGGAGGCCGGTGCCAAACCCCGAAGTTTACAGTCTAGGGAGGGAAGTAATTAGAAACAGTTGCGCAGCCAGATGGTTTATTTTGATGTTTTAAAAATGGCCCGTTCACAGATGTGAACGAACTGTCTCGTTCTGAAAGTGCAGGCACCGTAAATATTTGAGGTATGTGTATTCCCCTGTCCTTTGATGCCTGGCTGCTTGGGATAATCTGTGTAACGTGGTGGGTGAAACTTGCACCGCCGAAGAGACAGGATCAGCGCTCCCCAGCTGCAGCATCCCTGCCTGGCTGCTGGAGCACGTCCCTGCCGCCTGCCTCCCCAGGTCCCTCCCTTCTCTCGTTCCCCTGAGGTCACCTGCTCACGTCATTGCACTGTACGACACTGCAGGCTGCCAACCTACACCAGCCTGAGTGACTGCACATTAAAAATACTATTAGCTAGCCATTTCCTAATGCCTTGTTAAAACACACAGTCCAATACTTCATCACAGCAGTGGGAGATTTTGGAAGTGCTTTAAAACTAAGCTGAGGGATAGTCTCTCTAAATTAATCAAATTTCGCCATGTTCATTTCTTTATCCAACACTTCTTGATCCCTCTGGTTGTCCTGAGAAATTGCCGATTGCCATATACCTCCCTGAGATGGAAAGCTCTTAAAGAAACACACTTTGACCACAAAAGATAGTATGTTAGGGGTTTCCTACTCTACCAATACACATACAGATTTTTAAAGCAGGCAGCTGACAGAAGAAACTTTCACTGGTTCTGGAGCCTATATTGGATATAAAAGCCCTCAGTAGCTTTCTCAAAATGGACAACTCCTGGTTTAGTTTCATATTAAATATCTGGTATAACACAGATTATAATGTTTTTTTAAAAAAAATTAATATTTTGTTAAAATTCTTTGACTTATAGGCTGTCTTTCCTAAAAGTGTAAGTACGTGTCTTACAGTTTACATAGTGAAATCAAGGGTACAATTCTCAGCATTTCTGCTCATATAACTAGTTCTGCTAATGGTCTTCCTGCAAAAAAATTGCATCAAGCATTTGGCTTTGCTCTGCTGGTCTTATAGATGCTAAAAGAACCCTTAAAGTCCAGTTTGGGGCCTGTAAAATCCAGTTTTCAGTAAAGTACCCATTCCATTGAAATAAAAACTTTCATCAAAACTCAAAAGAGACTTAACAAAATCTGTTCTAGCATATTTGTAAATATACGTTCTTATTTCCTGAAGATATTCAAGTTAAACTCAAACATTATTCCAGTGGACACAAGACTCTTGTATTTTATTAGGTTATCTCGAAGTTCTGAAGTGCAAAACTTTGCTGTCTAGTATACTACCCTCTATATGACATATAATTTTGCCCTAAAATACGAGCAAGTAGAATTAGGATGTCAAAAATATTTGAAAGTCCCATATACAGCAGCTGCATACTATATATAAGTTTATACCAGTTTTGATGCCCTTTATAGTATATTTCATATCACAAACATGTTACAGAATTTTCTCAAGCAATGCAGATGGTAAAAATCCTGTGTTACGAGTAATTTGTTGGCTTCAGTCTTGTAAATGTTTACAGTTGTGCTAACCCCATGCATTTGACTTACTTTGATGGATCTAGTGAAAAGGTAAATAATATTAGCAAGCCTTTATTTTTGACAGTCTTTGAAGTCCATGCTTAATGCAGCACTATGTGTTCTGTCTGTGTGATAGTTTTTTGAACTTATTTATAATGCTACAGTAAATATATATAAAAAGAGACATTACAAAGGGAGCCCTTTTAAGACCAATGTGATTGTCAGAAATTGTATTGCCTGAAGTCTCAAGTTAGAGAAGAATAAATAGAAAGGTTTGCATTTTAAACAATAGCAATTCTCTTTTGGCACTAAATTTATCTTTAATCCACAAACTTAAATGTTGCCATCTCTTCATCTTCCTCCTTTTTCCCTGAGCAGACTGTGCTCATAGGTATTCACAAGACCTTCAGGCAGCCTGCAAACTATGCCTTCAAATCTATGAGGAGAAGACATTCATCATGATATGTTGACCTCATCGCAGCTTATTTTTTATTTATTTACATCTGTCAGAATTTGAAATAATATACACCTTTTGGCTGTGGACCTTTTGAATTTGGAGAAGGTGTACTTACGCCAGTCCAAGGGTACAGTATTTGAAATTTGCACCCAGAGTTTAAATTTAATAATTGCTTTCATGTGTATGTGTCTGTGATACAATATCTCAGTGCTCTCTTAATGGATTTTAACCTTTGTTCAGATTTATTATTTAATCATTTAAGCCTAGAATGTTTGTAGGCACGCATGCATATATATATATGTATATATAATTATACACATGATGTATATGTATTCAGGATATTCAGGAGCTAAGAGGCTTGCAAACAGACTGTAAATTCCATTTAAAAGGAGTCAGTCTTTCTAAATGAGAACCTGATATGCTGTCTTGAGGACTTCTCACTTCCTTTCAGCCACTCCTGTACATAATCTTAAGGAACTTTGTTCTCTACTGGATAACATACACACACATGAAGCAGAGCATGCTTAAAATGCAACTTTTCCTGTGTATTGGAATTTCAGACCAAGGATCCAGAGCTGTAGGTGCTTGGTAGATGTACACTTTATGGGTGGGAACATCACTACCTGCAGAGTAAAGGTAGAAGAGAGAAAGTCACATAGGGAACACATTGCTGAGGAGGAGGAGCTGGAACATACTGTTAATACTAAACAGCCTTTTGAAAAGTAGGTAATAGGTTTAAATAATACTTGTCAGACACAAATGTCTTCAAATAAAGATTGGAATCAAGAAAATAAGTGCTGTTAAACATACCTACACTTGAACTTCAGTTTAAGTGTATCCCTATTAGTGCTCTTTCTATGAGTTTGCAGAATTTGGTACGGCCTGTGATTGGGACAAGCCTCTCCCTGCAATTTTACTTACCAGCAGAGGAACGAGTAGTATAATTTCCCATCCAAATTGGTGAAGGTTATTTTTGTGATTTCATAGTCTTCTGAATTGTGCAAAAACCAAGCCCAGGGGTAGATTAGGTAATTCATAGGCAGTGATATTTTTTTTAAAGGCAAACAATATCTTAACTTTAACTTTGCCATAATTGTTTTTTTAGTAAAGCAAATAAGAATAATATTAAAACATAAGGAAAACAAACCTAAGAAAAAGCTTTTTTACTGTAAGAGAGGTCTAAAACTGGAACAGTATCCCTAGCGATGTTGTGTAATCTTCACCCTTGGAGATATTCAAAAGCCATCTGGACAGTGTTCTGGGCAACATGCTCTACGTAACCCTACTCTGAGTAGGCAGGGTGGACTAGACCATCTTCAGAGATCCTTTCCAACCTCAAACATTCCATAATTCTATGGCTCTGATGGCATACTGTGCTACTGAACAAGATTTGATTCGGTGTGGGGAGGCAGATGGACTCTGCCTACTCCTTAATTACAGCCTCTTAGTGAACAGTTTAATTTTGCTGTCACTTTAATAATACCATTAGGTTAGCAAACCACATTCCATGCAATTCTTAAGGAGGCTTTTTTGTTGTTTTTTTTTTAACAAATCAAAGCAAAATGCACATCCAGTGAACAGTTCAAAGTTAAAAAAAAAACAACTCTGGAGATCATCAAAGTCTCACAAGTATTCTTCCTGGGTTTCCATTGAAGTAGCAGCATTTCCATTTTAGTAGCAGCATTGGTTAGTATCAGTGAAGATTGAGGCATTAGAATGCAGAGGCATTCGATTACATCACAGTTTTCTAAACTTAACCAGAAGTTGAAAATCTCACATATCAAACAAGTTATTGTTTCTCCATAAAATGTGGAACAAGGAGAGTTAGAAATACCCAGTGATTCTTCTGTCAAGGATATACAATCACTAAATGAGATGGTTGAAAAGATTTATGACAAAACACTTTAACACCCATGGAGCAAAGTACTTGATGGAGTTAACTAAAATCTGTCTAAATTAAACAGTTCAGAAATGCACGCAACTGTTGAGAGTCATCACTGTGATAGCCAATGGCACATCTGGAAGGTGGCAGGAGACAGAGTATGCCAGAGCTGTACAGAACTGAAAACTTTGTGTTAATTTTGCTGACATGGCATGGAATCTGGGACAGCTGATGGTATCACATAGGGAATACAAATAGCTTTTGGAGTTATAGGATCAAGGTTAGAACAAGATTAAAGCTGAGCTCATCTGAAGGTAGCAGGCCTGAATAGTAGAGAATATAAGCTACCTAACCAGTTCATATATAAGCTACCCAAACAGTTCATAGGCCAATGTTAATCAAGATGTTATTGTGTTATACTCTAGTGTAAAACCTTAGCTTACTCTTTAATGTCTCAGTTGAAACTTTAAATAGTTGGTAAGTCTCTTGTTTGTTCAGCGTTTGCTAGTGAACTCCCCTAAACAGCAATAACACCCTGCTTTTACAGAGGCCTTAAAGGAAATAGAAGGTTTTTAAACATGAGTTGCAAGAAAGCTCAGAATGCCAGCAATAACAGTGTATTTTAAAGAGCATCCTACTGTGTTCTTAACTGTTTAGCACTTATTCCTGAAACTGAGTCAAGGTCTGTGGTAAGCTGAGTTAACAGTATCCTTGAAGAGCCCAAGAAAGTAGATAAAAGGCATGTCATTTTCCAACATAAATTGTTACTCTGTGGTCAAGTTGTGCCTTATTTTTCAAAGGGATAATGTTTCTTGATGCTGGGAATCTTAAAGAATAAAAAATAGTGGAAAATATAAGAATGACTATTGTTTGTGCTTTTTGACGTATGATCTTTTTAACAACCTTTAACCTGAATGAGTTACAATGAAGGATTATTCTCATTGTTTTGGCTGAAGAGTTGTTTTTAAGGTTAGCAAATTTAAAAAACAGGTACTGCTGACTTCCTAAGGCCAAAACTGCAGTAACTCAAGTTGAGTGCCTGAGCTGAACATATGCACACCAGATTATCCAGGCAACTGCAACCACCTTGTACGGTTTCAACGCTCTGTCTTGCAGTGCTTGCTATCAAACCAAAAATGAAGGAGAGACAGAAATTAAGAAAAAGGAAGTGTGGAAGAACACCATTATTGCTCCTCTTCTAAATACTTGGTACTTTTTGAAAGCAAACTAAACATATACATAGTTAGTTGCAGATTTAGGATTCTTTTTAAGGTTTGAAATTTTAAAAACCATAATCCATGTCTTATATTCTGGATCATCAATGTTGACACAGATCACGGACACTCAAGAATGACAGTTTTCTATCCCATCCCAATCAAAATTACTCAGGAACAGTAACTGATCTTCTCTCACCATCATTAGTCTCAAGTTGTTCTGTGGCCATTTCTGTTATGGTTACATGAGTCTGAGCAAGACCACCTCTAGCCTGAGCCATAAGGACCAGACAGGTGGAAACAAGTCAGGCTGCTCAGATAATTTGAATCATGTGGAGCTCTAGCAATACCAGGGGCTGCTCAGCATGCACAGAGCAGGACTTCTATGGGACAACTTTGTGGTAACCATCATTAAGAGGACTAAGGACTTTGCATGACCTGGGGCTAGAGAGACAGGAATTGAGCAGCTTTTGACTTGTATCTTATACCTAAATGATTAAAACTTCCTTTGGGTCTGAAGTTTAATTCTGAATTGCTAAATGATATTTTGTGACCTTTTTTAAAAGCTCAAGCATAATTTCAAAATGAATATTTCATGAATTCTTTTACTCATTATAGACTCTCTGAAATCTGATCAAGCACTTCATTCTTTCCTAAATGGTAAATCGAATTTCAACAATGGCAATTCCAATAAACACAACTCCTTGGGATGTTTTTAAAATTTGTTTATATTACTCCTTAACTCCTTAACACATACTTATGAAAAGTAAGGACAAGAGACCAAATAAAGCTCAAATAAATTTAGAAATAACCCCCCACAATTCCACTATTTCTAATGTGGCTTTACTTCCTTCCAATAACAGTGGGATAGTTAAAATATGTGCCTGTCTGAGGAAACATGCGTATTTATACAGCCATCAGCAAATGGGAGAGTAGTAACTGGATTTTGTAAGAACAAATAGCTGGCCCCCAACTTGTGTTGGGGACCTGCTAGTGCTTTCCTTTCTTAACCCTTGCTCTTCCTCACTGACAATGGGGAAGATGAGGATGTCCATTACTCTCCTTCTTTGGTGCACTCTAGAAATGCTTCACTCTAATTTTCATCCTTTTAATTGCTTGAGTTAACTGCGTCCCAGAAAAATAAAACAGGGCTTGAGGGCTCTCCAGATTCTGCAAGGAAACATGCAAAATAAGTAGATGCTTTACATTCCACATTTTTCTTCAGGACTTATTGAGTTAGCAGGTCCACAAAACTTTGGTTTTTTAATAATCTTTTATCTAGGAAGATCTTACTGTGTTTGCAGATCATGTTACAGGAATTAAAGTGATAGGTAAGGCTGAGAATTCTCCCCTTGAAATCTCAGTATGACATCTTCTGCAATTTTCCAAAGTTTTCCTTTTAAATGGACATTTTCCCATGACCAGTTTCAAAGTTTGATGATTGAATAAGGAAGTTCCTTTATCTGTTCCTGATTTATAGAGCTGAGAGGCAAATCTTTACTAAGACACATTTTTCCTTTTAACCTATTTCAAGTTACCATAAAGTAACATCATAAGATTAACTCCCAGATTCAGTCCTTATCTACATGTTCATGGTTTGAATTTTAGGTTGATGTGAATTTTCTAAATCAGAATAAAAACAGACTTCAGCCCTAAATACTAAACATTGTCATAGACTTCAAAAGACTGATAGGGTCTTTGCAAAATTATATCAGAAATGTTATAGATATCTAAGTTTTCCACTTTATCCTCATATACGTTATATGCCACTCAAGTTCTAAAGTCTTCATCATTGCTTTTCACGTGACAGATCTGAAAGTAAATTTGTGGTGAAATAGCAAAGCAAGACAGCGCTTTTTCTTGAAAACAGCAGACTTTCTCTGTCTGCACAATTCTATAAATGGAAGACTGCTATTTTGCCCTTGCGCATAGGCAGGTACCTCAAGGCTTCAGGGGCTAAACCCTTTTTTCAGCACTAGCATCGTCTGATGCAAGTGGTGATCACAGACAGGCTGTACGAGAGAATCCAGTCTTCTGCTGAAATGTGGGTCCCCATTAGCACTTGTAGTTCATAGAGGCTCAGTATATGCATGTAGTAACAATACAATACCAAATACAACACCAGGTAAAAGTTTGAAATATATAAGGAAATATGCATCCTATAATACAAACCGCATGTAAGGAAATTAATACCTGTTTTTTGGCACTCATTAAACTACCTATAATACTGCATCAAATTCTGAGCTCCCCTCCAACACCTGAAAGATGGTAATATGTGAGTTCAGTGGCAGGCCACCAAGGTGGTTGGGGCTGGAGCACTTGCTCCATGAGGAGAGGCTGAAAGAGGTGATCTTTTTCAGCCTGGAGAAGGGATGGCTTTAGGGGGCATCTAAGAGTAGTCTGCCAGGGTTTATGAAGAAGCTGTCAAGAGGATGAAGCTGGGCTATTCTCCAGGGTGCATTGCAGGAAGAGGAGAGATAGCAGACAAGAGAGGGTCCAACAGCGTGTCAGGAAAAAATCCTTCACCATGAGGACAGTCCAGTACTGGAACAGGCTTCCTAGGGAGACTGTGCAGTCTCTGTCTAGGGAGGTTTTCAAGACCCAAACAGATAAAGCCTGAGCAAGCTGGTGTGATCTCATCGCTGAGCCTGGTTTCAGCAGATTGGTCAGACCAGATGGTCTCGCAAGGTCCCTTCCAACTGGAAAATTGTTCTATCAAGAATTATTTTTCAGAAGCCAGTATATCCATAGAAAAACTGTTACACAAAGTCACATCTGCTGGCATACGCTGATTTCTTTTGCTTAAATATAGGTGCAACATTTCATTGTTTGCAACCGTCAGTTTTCATTTTTGAGATGCTATCACCAACAGCATAATGCTGCCTAGCAACTTATCCCAAGTAATAAAACGTAACTGGGGAGGAAAAAGACAAAATGTGAAAAGTATTATTTGTAAGCACATTTAAATTGGTTTGTTTGGGTTTTTTTAGCAGCTATGAAATACACTAGCCCTGCACACACTACAATTAGGTGCTTAAATTTACTGGAATTGCTAATGCTGGTAATACACATAAGTAGTGCTGGCAGGACTGCATCTGTAATCCTGAGGCCAGCTCCCTAACTGGCTTATTAGTTTTTGTTGCAAGCATCAAATAGACAAATAGATGTAATTTAAAGAAATGTAGTACAATTTGTGCCACATACCTTCCTTCACCTTTCTCGGTTATTTTCAAATCCTATTCCATGTCTTTACAAACTCCATAAGTTTATGAGCTTACATTACTCACTATCATCAGGTTTCATTTAAACACAAATTATAATTTTCAGAAATGTACCTATTTTTTTTTCCAAGAAAACAAAAATACAAATTGGAGCATGTCAAATTCACATACAGAAACAATTAATATTAATATTTATCTATTTATTTATTTATTTTTAGCATCTCTTTCCTAGATTCATTCAGGCTAGAAAAGACCTCTAAGATCATCTAGTCCAACAAGTGATGCTATTTCATGAATTTAATTCACCATGTCAAGACTGAGCCTTTACTTGGCTCTTCATTAGTAACCAGACCACCCAGATGATGCCACCAGTGAAGAACGGGCAAAGAAGGTCATGAGTACTAAAAAAGCTTTAAGATGCACAAATAGGGTTTCTTGCCAAAATAAATAAACTATCCTAGCACTTGAGCATCATCATTAAACAAAAACCAAAAACAAACAAACAAACAAAAAAAAGGACAAAAAACCCCCATCAAACCAAAACCAAGCAAAAAACCCAAACCCACCAACAAACAAAATAGCTACACCCCAAACCAAAGCCCTACACCGTTGCTGTTCGGAGGGGGGCTGTGCGGGCTCAGCACGGGGCACCACCCGGCGAGCTCCGTCCCATGCAGGTCGCCCCTTGCGTGTTTCGGGGCGCAGCGACCACAGTTCCAAGCGGCTATGGGGGTGTTTTGCGTGACGGGACCGCCGTGGGGTCACCCCGCTGCTCCGGAGCCGCTCAGCCCCCCTCTCTTCCCAGCAGGAGGCTTTAGCAAGGCGGGGGGCTGTTTGTCCCAGCGCGCCCGTGCGCGGTCGGCACCGTCTGCCCCGCACCTGCTCCGTCCCCGCCCGCCCCCGCCGTCGTTGCCGAGAGATTGAGCGCGGCCGCCGCCGGGCGGGCCCCGCCGCCGCGATCCAGCGCGGGAGGGCGGCGTGCGGGGCTGGCACAGCACCGTAACACCCCGCACACCCGCGGGGGCCCCTCCCGACCGCGCCATGAAAGGAGATGCTGGCGGTAGGTCGGAGGCGGCGGGCGCGGCTCGCTCTCGGTGCGCGGTGGGGCCCCTGCGCCTTCCCGCCCCCTTCCCCGGCCCTTCCGCGGCCCGCGGCCGCCGCGGCTCTGCCGGCAGCGCCGGCGGTTCCCAAGGAGGGGACGGGCGCGGCGAGAGGCCCGGCCGGCTCCGCGGCGAGGGGGGAAGGGGCGGTGACACCCTCTGCATCGCCCGCCCCAGGTGTCCTTCCCCCGCGGTGGGAGGGGGCGCTCCGGCCCGGCCGCCGTCGGCCTTCCCCGCCGGGACCGCTCCGGACCCCTCGGCATCCCTCGGTGGGGTGCAGGAGTGCCGCACTCGTCACTGAGGCAGGGCAGGGCCGGGCCGAGGGGCGAACAGGCCTCTTCGGAGTGCACTGACTAATGGGGTGGCTGTGGATGGGGACGGGGATGGCTGTGGGGAGCTCTCTCCCTGAGGAGAGGGTTCAGCTGGTCCGCAGAGGCTGCGGGGTTGGGGTGGTTGAAGAGAGCGACCTACCCAGGCCTGGAGTAAATCTTTAGTTTGCAGTTTCAGGGGTTTGTTCATCAAATGGACAAAGAGGTGCTTAATATTTTTTCGTTGTTGGCATCTTGTTTATTTTAGTACTCCCGGTAACATCAGAGACATATTTCTAGGAAGGATGAAGGTTTTTGATGGCCTTTACTTGCAAACATACCTTTTGAGTCAGCTATGATTTGGTAGGTTAACCATTGTTGCTTTAAGGCAAGTATTTACAGTGAGAAAAAATTAACTAAATGCTATTTGAGTCTTTTGTCTTTGTCTTAAGCATCGTCAATTTCCTGTTAAATATCGATGTCTCTATTCAGTTCCTTCCAAAACAGTCCCATCCCACCTGCCCTCTAAGTGACCAACAGAGAAATGATACATATTAACAATGAACTATGTTGAATCAGGAAGTTAAACTTCAATGAAGGGCGGGAAATCACATTTCTTTGACTTAAACTCACTGGCTGCTAGAAGACTCCAGCTCTCTTCAAGTTTATGCATATACTTTTGAGACTTATAGGAACAGTTGGGGAATTTTTTGTTTTACCATTTGAGCTTGGTACTGTGTTTTAAAATGAAATTTCAAAACTGTAACAATCAGCATGTCATTTGTGCTTTATGTGGACCTGTGATCTTCTTGTTTGGTGCATTTGCTTTATTTTAATCTGAAATTTGGTCCATCACAGTTCATTCCCATTTAAGCTATACCACCTGGAAATATAACTCACTCTGATTTGACTTCCTTCCAGCTCCTGGTCATTGCTGGTACCATGAACACTTACGTAAATCTGTATGGCATTCATCCAAACCTGTTTATTGAGTCAAAGAGGTTTTGGCTCTTAAACCTTCACGATAGGAGATCAATACTATCGTGCTGCACTGCTAGGAGTAACGGGCTACGGGACCAAGCTCTAGAAGACGTGGCGAGTCTTAGACTTTCATGGATAAGGATGTCTTCCTAAGGCATGAGTATCTCATGATGAGATAGAACTGGTACTGGCTTCTGGGGATTTGGGCTTCCTCCCATCCTTCCTAGGTATTTAGGAATCTGGTCAGTTGCAAACAAGATTTTTGATGTGCTTATGAATAAAACACAGGTGTTGCATTCACAAATTATTTTTACTGTGTTACTAATAGGATATTTTCCTATTACTTACATTTCCTGTAGATTTTGAGCATGCAATCTTTTGGAGATAAAGAGCAAAGTCAGCCTAATATGAGCATTATGGATTGAATCATGTTTTCTTTCCCTTTCAGTCTTTCTCTGTTCTCCCTTTCATTACCTTCATCGCATCTTTTATTTCGTTTGAAGTTTCCTGTATTGGCTGAGTACTGGTAAATGCCTTGCTTTGAGCGATACCACTGCTAGACTATGGTTGCAAATTGCCTTGGATCTACTAGGTAATCTTTTTTTTTTCCTTTCTTTATTTTCTGTGATGCTTTCATCTTCCATCTCTCTCTCTTAACTCTCCTCCTCCCCCCTTCCCCTGGTGAGGAAAATCAAGCAGTGGAACAAGTTGCTCAAAGAAATTGTATGGTCTCCTTTGCTGCAGGTTTCCATGACTGGACTGGAATAACCTGAGTAAACTGCAATAGCCTGGTGTTTCATCACAGTTGATACTGCTTGAGCAGAAAATGGGACTAGAGACCTCCTGAAGTCATAGAATCATAGAATGGTTTGGGTTGGAAGAGACCTTAAAGATCATCTAGCTGCATCACCCCCTGCCATGGGCAGGAAACCATTCACTAGACCAAGTTGCTCAGAGCCCCAGACAGCCAGGCCTTGAGCATTGTCAGAGATAGGGCATCCACAACTTCTGTGGGCAACCTGTTCCAATGCCTCACTATCCTCACAATATAGAATTTCTTCCTAATTTCTAATCTATACCTACTCTCCTTCAGCTTAAGGTCATTCGCCTTAAGTGTCCTATGTCCTTGTGATAGTCCATCTCCAGCTCTCTTGTAGGCCCCCCCCTTAGGTACTGGAAGGCTGCTTGAAGGTTTCCATGGAGCCTTCCCTTTTTCAGGCTGAACAACCCCAACTCTCAGCCTATCTTCATAGGAGAGGAGCTCCAGCTTTCTGATCATCTTCATGGCCCTCCTCTGGACTCATTCCAACAGGTCAATGTCTTTCTTGTGTTGGGGGCCCTGGAGCTGGATGCAGTACTCCAGGTGGAGTCTCACAAGAGCAGAGCTGAAGTCTCTCCAACCTGATCTGTCTTATGATTCTATGAACTCAGTTTTCCTTTGTTTGTTTTTTTTTTTTCCCTCCAAAATAAAGCCTTCAGGTACAGTACCTACAGTATCAGAGATTATGGCTGTGACTTCTAGGAACTGCCCTGCAGCAAGGAGGATGTGTATCACATGTCAATTACTCTGTTTTAAAGGAAAGATAAGAGGATAAAAAAGTCCTAATTCTGTTTTCGGGACTTCAGTTTTAAAATATATGTGTGTTAACTGTTTCACTGGCAATTCCTTAGAGGATAGAAAGGGGAGAATTTGGGAAGGGAAGATGATCTAGAATATTTCAATTGCTTTAATAATTATTTTAGCAAAAACTGTAACAAATTCAAAATAATATAACCACTGCTTATTTTAATTTTTAATGTATTTCAATTTAAATTATGAAAGGATGTGTATACAAGGCTCTAGGCACACTAACATGTAATAATTGATACACAAAAAAATCCCTGCAACCTTAAAATAATCACTTAAGCAGGCATGTCATCAGCCATCTGCCTACAGAGAGGCTCCTTTCCACCCCTGTGTCATTCTGGGAAGGATGCCCTCACTCTTTTCTTTGAAGGTCTGAAAAATAGATCTGCGGTTTCATAGCATGTTACTGAATGTGAGGTATTTTAGAGAGAGGATGGGTTGCTTCCTGAATCCTCTCAAAGAAAGACCCGGTATTGCCTGTCCCATTACTTTTGCAAAGGGCTCGGCACAATTTCTACTAGGAGATGGGTAGACCGCAAAAGCAAATTACAGAACACCACTCTCCATTTTTTCCAGCATGATTCTTGCTAAGGACATTGCTGTATGTCTTTGTCAGCTTTGGGCTCTTAAGGATATTTATATAGGCTATATTGCAGTAGACCAATCCTAGGGCAGCAAGTGGTGGGTAGGTTGAAGTGAACTTTTGCAGTAAGATAGCTGTTAAGCTGCTATATATCCATAAAAGAAATAAATTACCATCAGTATATTCTCTACATATAATTACTGTGCATTCACAGAATCGCAGCATATGCTGAGTAGGAAGGGACCCACAAGGATCATCAAGTGCAACTCCTGGCCTGCACAGGATCAGCCCCAGGAGTCACACCATAATGCCAGAGAGTATTGTCCAAATGCTTTACTGAACTCTGTTGGACTTGGTGCTGTAACCACTTACCTGGGGAGCCTCTTTCAGCACCCAACCACCCTTTGGGTGAAAAACCTTTTTCTAATATCCAACCTGAACCTCCCCTGACACAACTTCAGGCCATTGAATATAAAAGAAGTGTGGTGGAATGTGCCATGGTGTGATCTACCAGCACCAACTGAAAAATCATCTACACTTGTTCTGCCTTTTTTTTGACACAACCAAATTTTTTAATAAAAAAATATAAAAAAAGCTAAGCAATTCTATTTAAAATTAAGAAGTTCATTTTCTGGCTGCATCATGGCACCATGTATATGCATGTGTAGTGTCTTTGGTATTGTATATTCTGGATGTTAGAAGGCCTGTAGTGAAGAGGACTTGTGATACATCATGTGACAATAGAGGTAGACTTTATATCTGACTCACAAGAGATCTGCCTCCATATACAATGTGATAATTTGTTTCTGTCTGCTCAATAGTTCTGAATTATTTTGGCTGTGTCTGAGTGGAAGAACTTATATGTAAGAAATAAATACTTTGAGAGCATTGTCCTTAGTTGATAATAAGGCAAGACACAGGAGATGTGTTGGGAGCAAAGAGCTGAAGTCTGAACATCTGTGTATTTTCAGACTAGATGTTATTACATTGGCAGCCGTAAGCAATTGTTAAACCTTCCTCAGTTGTGAACCCCAGTTCTCATATTTTTAGTCTGGGATCCTGTTACTAAGTACAAGATATCACCAGTTGTTCTTTCCTACCTGTATCCAAATGATTTGAAAATGTGAATGTAACTGATTTTTAGGATATTTCTTCAGTATACCGTCTTTGTGAAGAACTAGGGTTTTTTTTAATAAACACTAAAGTTTGGTTAGCAGTATATCGTGTACAAAATAATGAAGAGATCATTCATCAGATGCAATAACAATACCACACAGAGAGGAAAAGTACTGAAATAAGTTCTTCCTTAAAATTAGGTATGAGTTAATGGCATCCGTGGTGGCATGTGCTATGTGATTTTATCCACTGGAATTTTGTGTTTACCCTTCTAAAATAAATATACTGTCACATATGTAACTTGCTCACTTCAAATTTTTTTCTACATGAAAACAAATACTGAAATACCATTTACCTGTACCTGCACCCAAAATCAGGGATGGAAGAACGTAGGGATAGAGGGAGCAGGCAATAGAGAAACAGGGACAATTGGTAAAGAGGGAAAGGCGGCAGCTATTGAGATGAAAGAATGAGAACTTATATTTTTCCTATAACCATATAATGCATACTACAGTTAAGAGCAATCAATTTCCTTAAGGTGGCCTGTAGTTTGAGGCTTTTTTAGCATATAGTATGGAAATGGGGTTTTGTCGCCATGCTATGTCTATGGGTGTTCACATCCTCTTCTGCCACCCCTTTTAGCTTTCACATTTGTAGTTATTGTCTTGAAGTGTTATGTGCCACTTTCTTTGTCCCCGCTCTGGGTGAAGTTGGAAGGGGAGTTGACATTTTCAGAGAGAGAACTGGTGTTGAAGAGAGTGCTTGTATGTGGCCTGCCTTAGGAGGACCTTCACATAGTGCTCACATGATCTCACGTGACAAAGTCAATCAGCAGTGAGAAAGAAGTTATGTTGGAAGCCAGACATTGCTGATTTCAAGGATTTATCTGATTTTCAAACTCCATAAATTGTAGGTAGGAATATCTGCTTTATTTTCCTGTTTATATTTCTGTGAAGTCATTTTTCAACTGCCTTCTTTGTCAGCCAGAGCATTTATAAGCATGTTCTCTTGACTTTGTGATGGAGATCTTTTGAGCAGATTATGCTGTATACAGTGAGCTTGCTTTATAAATGAGGCTCAGGTTTATCAGTACTCCAAAGAAATGTGAAGTGATCGTAGCCCCAAAACTTAGTGATATTTTCCTGTCTCAAGCCTGTGTTTTCCCTGCACCCAGTATGTCTTAAAAAACACTGGAGCTAGAAGTACATGCTAGGGAATGTATTAAGCCTTTCACATTAATAACAGGTTGTGATCAAAGAAAGACCTAATGATGTGTGCCAAAATCAATGCGGGAACTGCAGAGGTGGATTTGTAGTAAGGGTTAGGGAGGACTACAGCCTCCCCATTAGCACAGCTTGGTGTGGTGCTCACTGCGTGTCACATGCTGGAAGGAGTTTGTGCACAGCTGCCCTTCTCTTCATCTTTCAGCGGGTTCCTCCTTGCAGTAACAAGTGCGAAAGGGATTTTAGTCCAAGGGTTAAAATTCTTTACATACATGGCAGAGTCCTGAAGCTGTACTAGGCTTTATGTTGCTCTGCAGCAACAGACACATGGAAAAGCCTGTGCATTCCCTGATAAAATAGTAGTGAGAACAATAAAAATGCATAAAAGCTTGAAAGCAACCTTGCTATACTTTGAATAATCTTGCTGAAGACCATTTCCATTATATTCTTGGCTTGTCGACTTTATTCTGCATTTTTTTGTGTGCATTTCTGGTCATTTCAAGTAGAGAAGTAGACAAGGTGATTCTTATATTCTATAAACATTGCCTTCCCTTCCATCCATTAGGTTTAGATACATGAAAAGTTGTTTATTCAAGGCTGCCTCTTAAAAGTAAGAATTCTAATCTCTTTAGTCACAACATTTAAGTATGTGAACTGAATCCATTATGGAAATCCACTATGAGCATCTAAAGTTCACATTATTTTCTGTGCCTGGACCAATTAAAAAAAAACAAACCTTGAACAAAGAGGCACGGGATAAAAGGAAAAATGGGAATTTCATTAGAAGAACATGGCTAATGTTCCTACACATGAGATGTATGAATAAGCAGTATTGAGAAAAGCATAAAAACAACAGAGCCTTGCTGAAAGACAGTTGATAATTATCTACTTTTTTCCCTAAATGGACATAGCTTGTTATTTAGAGTGTCATTTATTTAAAAAAAAAATCAGTAGTGGCTAAACAAAAATCAGTGTTTCGTATCCTGAGCCTTTTCTCATAATTACTGATTGAGCTTATGTTATTAATTCTCTATTTATTGCTGCATATTTTCTTAAAAGCTTAGGAGCACAGTCATAGCCATTACCAGAAATAGTAAACATAAAATTATTATTTTGTTAATTCACTGATTAGCTTTCGAGTAACAATTTCCAAAAAACATATTTGCAAGAAACATTTTAGACAGTGTCTTTTTTTTCCCTAAGGTTTTGGGAAATGCATCTCCCAAGGCATTGCAATGACTTCTTATCGCTGTGTTAAATGTAGCTATTTTAAAGTTTCATGACTTCAAAAAGCACACCAGCATCGTTGAGGCTTCAAGCATTTCTAGTTATGCTTTGGTCCAAGTAGAGAAAAAAGGTCAATATATCAGGCTTAGAAAGAAATAAGAGAAAGTGGAAAAAATTGCTAAAGAGGAGGAAGTAGTGAATTCAGTTATGATAGAGGTGGAAGCACGAAGTTTGAGCATGAAGACTAAGAGAACCTACAACCTCTGTGAATATTATTTCAGTCTTCATTTGTTAGAGAAAGATTATTAATTTGTAATGTTCATTTTACAACATTTGCATGGTTTTAGTGACAGCTTACCAGCCTCACTTGTACTAAGGTTGCTGTGAATGACCAGATGAATATAGGTGTCAGAAGCTGTCCCTTATTTTGTGCTTTTGTGTTATTTCTGTTTATTTTAAAAAAATCAGTCATCGCATAATGTCAGCTCCTCTACCTGGGTATGTTAGTACAAGACCTCAGCCCTGTTGCTGTGTGGTTTGTGCAAAGAGAGACCAATGGTTCAGACTTGGTTTTACAGACACAGGAGCTGTCCTCTTGAATCTGAAGGAGAGAAAACGGAGTAGGGGTAGACTCTGAGGGACTTGGAATAAGTGTAATAGTTTACATTTGCCATAACAGCTAAAAGACAAGACAGCCAAGGATGCATGCATAGTGTTTGGACATGAAGAAGGAGCCCATGTCATTGAAAAGGCCAGCTGAGACCAAGGACACGGGACTTCTGCAGTCCTAAGTCAACTATTGCCTCCAACTAATCGAGGACTAATAAGATCTAACTCACCTTTTTGCTCTCTTGTTGTGTCTCCTAGTTGTGTCTCCTAGTTGTGGCTCACATCACTGAGCACGTAGAAGTCTCAGTCAGTGCCACCCATGCAGGAATGTCCAGATTTGGCCTGACTCCGTGCAAACAACACATTTTCCTCAGTGCTTCTGCGTGCCAACACAAGCCCCAGAGACAGCCATCTGTCTAGGTGTTGGATAGATAATTGCTAACATTAAAAAAAGTATTAGAAAAATACATGTTAATAGTAGTATATAGCAAAAAGGCTCTTCCGATTTCAGTAAAGAACATTAATATGTGTTGGCGGCTTAACATCGCCTGTTTGCCTTTGGCATGTTGGGATTTATCTTAGCCTAGTGTAATAAATGGAAATGTCACCATTTAATTAAATGGCTTCAGGTCAAATCCATCCAGTGATTACTCTGTGTTGAAGTTCACAGCAATAGCATTCTTTGCATATTGGTACAAATTTTCTGTCAGCTTTGCTAAGTTTCTGGTAATTGTTTGTGTTACATACCTTTATGTAAATTTTTTGTAACATAATGAGAGTCATGTCAGTGATTTATATTTAATCAAATGAATATCCTGTTAATCAGTAAATACAAAAGCAGTTTGCATGAAAATAAAATGCTTTAGGTTATTTATAAAACCGTTCAAAATGCATTATAAAATGGTTTTAGTGAATTAATGTTTGCTGTCTTTTTCTCCCAAAGGAGGTTTCATGATTGTAGATAACAAAAATTAACTTCAGGATGCTAAAAAGGAAACAAAGTTCAAGGGTGGAAGCCCAGCCAGTTACAGATTTTGGTCCTGATGAATCTTTGTCAGACAACGCAGATATTCTATGGATTAACAAACCAGTGGGTATCTCTTTCTGTAGTTACTGATTTTAAGTTAAATGTATCTTGTATTGTTGAAATATGACTTCCACAAAAGATTCTGAATTAAATATTTGTCAGAAACAAATATTGAGCTATAGTTGCTAATCTACCAGTTAATTTTTGAAGAAAGTCCAAAACTAAAAAAGAAGTTTCTTTTGGTTGTTGCAAAATGATGGGAAGATCAAGCAGTGTTTTCCAACCAGTTTATCTACTGATTGATTCTTTTAAAACAGCCATCCTTTCAATGTCTCTGGTTCATAACATGGTTGTTGAAATTAGAAGTTCATAAACTGGGCTTTTGAAAAGGATGTTAAAAGGAGCATTTCATTGCTCAAGTGGTAGCCAGCAGTCAACACTTTTGACTTTCAAATCTCTCCTTTTACATCATATATATCATAATAGAAGTGTATTTTGGCTGTTTATTTTGAAGTACAACTCTCATTTTTCTGATATCATTTCCTTATAATCTGCCATAAGAAATAGATAGGTGGAAAAGTGTCTGACAGCTTGAAACTGGGGAAAATTTCATTAGGAGAGGAGTTAATAATGGATGATGCAGTATTAAGAAAATGTCTTTCCTGTGTAAATATGTTTTTTATGATTAAATTATTCAGGAGTCAGCATGCATCTGGGATTCCTATATGGTGAATGATTTGTGGTTTTGTAGAGAAGGAATTTTCACATTTCTCTTAAAGTAGTGTATAAATTTTTACTTTTTAAAAGCAGAAAGTAAAATATTCTGAAATAATACCTGTTGTTGGCATTGCATGCATTTTATGGAACTATCATCTCATTTGCAGTATGAATGCTAGATCCTTTCAGCTTTGCTGGTGAGTTTTGACACCTAAATCATCTATACGACAACACCCATGTATTTATTAATGCTAAATAGTTTTAAGTAGAATGTTTGTATTGACTGCTGTAAGAAGCTCAAAATGTCATTGCAGAAATATATGCTGGGTTATTTACACACGTTTCTCATCACACAATACATGAGGTTTTTATGGAATAATTCTTTTATTGTCATGCTGATGAACTAGTTGTATATTACTTAGGGCTTGTAATACTGACCTTTTACTGCAGCAGAGAATGAGTTCGATATCAGCCACACTTTAATATTTATGTTAATTTTCTCAGTTGAAACAAGGTTCAAAGCAAAGTAGATGTTAAAGGGACATTAGAGATCTTCATTGGGTGCCTTCCACTTCCGGATTATTAATCTGGGCTGAGTATGCAAATGATAGAGCTATTCAATTCAGGTCAAATATCATTACACTTAGGTGAGCGAACAGTGAGTATTAAATTAGGTGCCTATTAAGTCTTCTGTATATCAAAATATCTGAAGTGCTGTAAATGAGTGTCAGATTTTTCCCCAGATGGAAAAATTTTAAAAATACCTTTCAATGTTTTTTGTTTGGAGTTTTTTCTTGCTGAAAAGAACTTGTTTTGATAGGTATGACCTTACCAACTCTGATTCATTACACTTGTGTGGCTTCAAGCTGTTTTGATTTAAAAGAAAAAAAATCCAACCTTAAACCCTTGTATTAATATATTCTACTTTTTTTGTTACACTTCCCTCTCTAACTGGCACTGAATATCAATCTTATTAATAAGGAGTGTGTCTGAGACCTAAGTAGTAATAGAAATTAACTGTTCTCTTATAGCAACAAAACTTGATTGGAACAAAAGTGAATCCTGATCTTAAGAAGTAGCTTTCTGTGACATAGCCTTTTTTATATTTATTCTTTTCATGAATGGAAGGATGCTTTTAATCCTGTGCTTTTAATCTCACTTAATTTTTGGAATTGTAAATTGATTTAAAAATAATTTCTTCTCAGTTTTGAACTAAAATTGTCGACAGATATTTTCATTTAATGTATTTACCCAATTTATAACTTCAACTAGTTCTACTTATTGTCTGCCCATAAATGTGGCAAGCTGTCATTTGAAAAGAAATTGAATTACAAATGCTGCAAAGTAGAAATGATGGAATCCTTATTCTCAGTTTCATGATTCTTAATTCTTGGTTTCTGAATTATACAACCTCACAAATTACCTAATAAAATTCTTTATATGTATATATAATTATAAATAATTTAGGAGTGCTTGTTTGTGGTTGAAGACCTTTAATATGTGGATCATGACGTAAAAGAACACAGATGTGCATTTACAAAAGGTGCCAATATAAGTTATGGAGGCTAAATATTTGAGCTTTTTTTCAAGATCAAAACAATCTTGCAATATCTTGTGTTTGGTTGTTTTGTTTGGTTTTGTTTTTTTTTCAGTGGGTACACTCTTTACTACGGATCTGTGCCATCATCAGTGTTATTTCTGTTTGTATGAACACCCCAAAGACCTTCGAGCATTATCCGCCTCTCCAGTATGTGACATTTGCTCTTGATACTTTGTTGATGTTTCTTTACACTGCAGAGATGATAGCAAAAATGCACATCCGTGGGATAGTTAAGGTAAGCATTTTAACAGTATTCTATGTGTGCTTCAAGTGATCTGCATTTATGCTAATGACATTTGGTATTTGTTTTTCAATTTACCAGCTCTTCTCACTATGATTGTTTTTAACTGCAGGCAACATTATGGAGTATAAACTGAAAAGACAGATTGACAAAGATTCAGCTTTACTGCATATTTAATCACCCCAAAATAAAATGCCAGCATTCCTAATAAGGTCTACTAGTAAGAAATAGATAGTTTCATTGCATTAGTATAAAAAATGAAAGGAATAAAAAGCAACATATACATTAGGAAGAATATTTTGTAAATGTCTATTGGTCCATATATGGAGTGAGAATTTAGATTTTCATTTCAGAAGGCTGGATGTGTTCTTGTGTGGTTACTTAAATAAGAACATATGTCTTACTGTGAGCTAAATGAGAAAGTTATCTTGCTTTGAATGTTTTTTCCTTAATATAATCCATGTTGGTAAACAAATGCTTCTGTTATATGTCTGCTGTTGTTACTGGGCTAATTTGTATAAGTAGATACAATATTGTAGGCTGCAAAACTGCAGAATTTTTCAGTAATCATTATTTTGTACCATTATTTTACTAATTGTTTCCAGTCTTCTACAAAAAGATAAAAATCAGGTTCCATATAGAAAATCCATCTACAGACCTTATTGACAATGCAATTATGTCACTATGGCACAGAACAGATAATCAGTGTTATCCTTGCTTTTCACTTCTGAAAGGTCTGGTGACTCCACAGACATCTGATGCTGTACTTAAGCTCTTGAAGTATTTCTGAGTTTGCAGATAGCATTTTTTGTTCACTTCCAAACTGAAATATTATTCATCATACTTAATGAATATTAATAGTAAAAGTTAAAGTGTCATTAATATTAATATTTAGAAAATTACTGAAATAAGATAGTTATGAGAAAATCTTCATGGACGGTATAAAGCCCAAGTAATCTATTGTGAAGTGCTATTTCTAGCTGCCACCTATGCTTTCTTCTTCAGAGATGTCTATTAAGTAGGTGAAGATAAGTACAGAGGATTATGAATGGAGAATTGGTGACCGTCGTGCACATTTGAACAGTATGAGAATAAAAAGTTACTATTACAACCAGCACGGCCTTTGCAGAGAAAGAGACATGTAGATATTAATGCAGAGAGAGAGAGGGAAGGGTGGCCAACAGTGTGACTTTTGTACAAAGCTTGATTTCTGAGCTTTTGTGTATGCAAATGCCAACTTCACTCACAGTTGACACCTAAGGGCTATGAACAATATGCTGCTTAGTCTGACTTTCACTGGATTGTTTAAATTTGTGGGTTTGTGGGAAGAGAAAAAAGAAGAGGCGAGGTGAGGTGAGGCAAGGAGAAGGTGGAAGGGACTGTTGGAAGGGACCTACAGCCATAATCCAGTCCAACTGCCTGACCAATTGACCAGTTCAGGGCTGACCAAAACTTAAAGTGCATTGTCCAAATGCCTCTTAAACAAAGGCTTGGGGCATTGACCACCTGTCTAGGAAGCCTGTTCCAGTGTTTAACCACCCTCTTTACAAAAGGTTTCCCAGTTTCCAGTCTGAACCTTCCCTGGCACAGCTTTGAACCATTTCCATGCATCGGGTCACAGGGTACCAGGGAGATCAGCACCTCACTCTTCACTTCTCCTCTCCTCAGGAAGCTGTTGAGAGCAATAAGGTTACCCCTCAGCCTCCTTTTCTCTGAACTAGACAAACCTAGAGTCTTTAGCTGCTCCTCATAGGATGAACTTGTCTATAATTGTCATATAATGAACTTGTATTTGAAGCATGTCTGGTGAGCCTGGCCACACAGAATGAGTAGCTGTCTGGAGTTGGTTTCAATGTCTCAATTTATGTTATACATATATAGATAACAGCACAGATTATGTCCTTTGCACTGACATTTTACTATTTGTTTATTAGATAAAAATACACTAAAACAGATTGGACATAACCACTGTTACACAAAGATCATCATCATCATCATCATGGCTAGGCTACGCAAATGAAGATTTGGGAAGGGCTCTACCCACATTTGCTACCAGCGCGCTGGTGGCTAAAGAGGCCAATGCCAGATAGACAAGTCTGGTTGCAAAAGGCACAGCAGAAAGACTCCTTAGGTGGTATTGGCAAGACACAATTCTTTCTGCGTTGTCTTTTTTCCTCGAGAGTGATCTTGTGTGCGTTCTCAAAGGAAGCAGCAGCGTTATAGATAATGTGTCTCCAGGCCTCCTGATTGGAGGCCAGAGTAGACCAGTGATGAAGATCAATGTGGCCAAGGCTGAGATGTTGTTTCAAGGAGTCTTCTCTTTGGGGCTCCTCTCTTGTGGCAGCCAGTGGCAAGTTCACCATAAAGCACGATATTAGGGAGGCGGTGGTCCTTCATCCTTGAGACGTGTCCTGCCCAACGCAGCTGTGTTCTCAGCAACATGGCCTCAATACTCGTAACTGCTGCTTGTTCTAGAACAGATAGTTTAATAAAAAATGGCTGCATTTTTTGTTTTTTTAACAATTGAGCATTTGCTTAAAGCTTGATGTCTTGTAGCATTCATCAGTGAATATAGTTACACTGAAGTGAAGTGCTTTCTTTGGCGTTTATTCATGGAGTCATAGAATAACTTAGATGGTAAGGAACCTACAGAGGTCGTCTGACCTGCTGCCCAAAGCAGGTCCAGTTAGATGAAGTTGCCCATGGCTTGGGTTGTCCAGGAGAATTTCAGACTCCTCCAAGGATGAAGACTTCACAAGTTCTCTAGACAGCCTGTTCCAGTGCTTGACCAACCTTATGGCAAAGATATTTTTCCTAATACTTAATCAAAAATTTCCATGTTTCTTTGAATGCTAATTAGTGAGTGATCCTTTTTAGTGAACTATTTGACTTATTCTTTGGATTATGGATTTTAGGGAAAATACTGGTTAAATATTATAATTTTGCCAAGAACATATTGATCCATGGTCTTCCAAAGACAGTGGCAATTGAAGTAAATAAGGCACTGTTTAGAACTCTATTAGCATTTATTAAAGATGTTTGTATTTGAACCATCTTTACATAAGAAAATTTGTTTATGAAATGTAATCCTAATTTAAGTGCATTCAAGATTTTTAGTGAGCATAGGATCAATGAGTGCATTGCCATATGGTTCTACTGAACTTTACCATGTCGGTATTTCTGTAAATGCTTTAGAAATTGAAAGGCTAATAAACATGTGAACCATGATTAATGCAAAATTATAGTCCAGCGAGAAACCTAATTTATGGATAAGGTAGGCACCATCCACTTAAGTCCTAATTAATAAAAATGTAAGTATAGCTGAGCTAAGAAGATTTTGAAAATGTTAAGATTTTGAAAATGTTAAGTCATGTCCAATTAACACTCTCTGAGGACAAGTGAGAAATATACTTCCTTTGGTGCCAAGAGTTTTTAGGAAAAAAAAGTAGTTTCTGAAACTGCTAGCCTTTTCTCTGTAAAAAGTTTCCTTTTCCCCATGTAAACTAAATGACAAAATAAAACAATGCCTCCATCCAAGAGTTTTGTTACCCCAGAAGGAAAGCTAAACTGAAATGTTGCTGTGATACTGTGCCTTTTATTGCTCATGTTTCCTTCTGAGTTATTCTTGCCGTGCTAGTAAAATCTATTCAAAATTTGGGCTGCCCATGCCTTGTAAATGCTGGTTGGTGCTTGTTCCATTTGTGAAGGCAAATGATACAGGGAACTCCTGGAATTACACAGATAGATATCCACCTTCTACAAAGAAAGTAGATGTTGATGTGTTTAGAAAAGGAGAACAAAATACAGGTATTAAAGAAACCAGAGCATGACAGCATAGGATATATCTACTACAAAGTCTGAGCTCCTTTTGTTTTCAAAACTATATATTGATTTTCCATATTATTGCTATCATTTACTATTTGCTTTTAATAGGTATTATGATAGGTTGACTTCTCTGAAAGAAGTGAAATGGGCAGTGTAACAGACTATATTCGGTATATAGGCACTACCTGGGAGGAAAGTACTGAAAGTACTGTTACTGTTCAACATTTCTGTTGGCAACATGAACAGCAGGATTGAGTGCACCCTCAGCAAGTTTGCTGATGACGCGAAGCTGTGTGGTGCAGTTGACACACTGGAGGGAAGGGATCCCATCTGAAGGGAACTTGACAGGCTTGAGAGCTGGGCTGATGCACACCTCATGAAGTTCAACAAAGCAAAGTGCAAGGTCTTACACCTGGGGCATGGCAATCCCAGACACACTTACGGGTTGGGCAGAGGTGATTGAGAGAAGCCCTGTGGAGAAGGACTTGTGGATGATGGTTGATGAAAAACTCAACATGAACTGGCAAAGCCAACCTCATCCTGGACTGCATCGAAAGGAGCGTGGCCAGCAGGTCAAATGAGGTGATTCTCCTCCTCTACTCTGCTCTTGTGAGACCTAACCTGGAGTACTGTGTACAGTTCTGGTGCCCCCAACATAAGAAGGACATGGAACTGTTGGAGCAAGTCCAGAGGGCCATGAAGTTGATAAGAGGACTGAAGCACCTTCCCAGCCAAGACAGGCTGAGAAAGTTGGGGCTATTCAGCCTGGAGAACAGAAGGTTGTGTGGAGACCTCATAGCAACCTTCCAGTATCTCAAGGGGGCCTACAGGGAAGCCAGAGAGGGACTCTGCATAAGGAACAGTAGTGATAGATCAAGGAGTAATGGGTGCAAATTGAAAGAGGGGAAATTCAGGTTAGATATTAGGAAGAAATTTTTTATTGTGAGGGTGGTTAGACACTGGAACAGGCTGCCCAGGGAGGTTGTGAAGTTTTTGGTACTGGAGGCTATTGTCACGTGTCATGAACTAGTGAACTAATGCTATTAATACATCTGTCTTTAATTTCAGTCTGAAGATGAAATTCAGGCTATAATTTCTTACTGATTAAGATCTTTTTAAAAACAATATTCTAGGACAGTCTGCCTCATGTTGTCTGGCTGTATTGTATA